CTGCATGGTGTCTTTTGTCATTAGCCCTTTATTTTTAAAAATTCCTTTTGTTTAAATATTTGAAATAATTTAAAGACGAGAGTTTAAATAATTTCAATGTCATATATTGGTAAACACAAGAAAACATACGTTAGAATAATTTATGCTCTATTCGACTAGGCAAGCCGCAAGAGTTTTGATTTTCTTTCTAGTTAATATTTTCTAGAGCCTTTTCTTCTTACGAGAATTTTGTGAGTTATTACTTTATTTTCATAGCAATTCGTGTAAAAGGGCTTTTGCTCAAATATGGACACATCCCAAAATAAAAATATTAATTATATACACATGTATAAGATATTTTAATTATATACTTAGTGGGTGATTTGTTTTTAGATTTATTTTGGTTATATAAATTTATATAATTTTCTTGTATTTGATTTTGCAATATACCATTGCTGAAATCATTCAATGTTTTTGTTTTTACTTTTTCGTAGCAGACATGTTTTCAATGTTTTTATTTTTTAAAATAATTCTTCAATTAAGTTATTAGACTCAGTTTCGAATTCTAAATATGCAAATTCTTTTTTTCTTTTTTATTTTCTGAAAATATTCACTAAAAATATTATTCAAGACATATATATAATTTTTTTTTAGTATAAGCGATAACTTTTTTTATTAATTGAAAAGTACAAACCATAGTCTAAACTAGTGGTTTGTCACACATGCATTATCATCAGGGTGCCGGGATTCGAATTTGAGACCTCAATTCTGTAAGTAAAAATCATTTTTTATTGGACTAGACCCTATTGGCCCAGACGGTACTTAAATACCCATTTTTGATAATTAAACATTAATTTGAAAGAAGATTTCCCTTACAACCATTCATTTTTCAAAATTTCTATTTTTTTTGGTGCTGAAAATTCCATCAAGAAAGAACGAACCTTCCCTCTTGCAACACAGATGGACTAAATAGTATTCCATTTTCCAAACGCGTCCTCTTGACAAAAGTAAAATTACAAGCACAATCCTCTTCTCTCCCCTCCGTTCTTCTGACTCTTTTTCCCGAGAAACAAACAAGTCTTAACAACGAAGAAGTAAAATCTAGGGCTTCTGCACCTGGAAACCAGCCTCCGATCCCCGATTTTCTCTTAAAATCACCCATCGGATGAAATTATTCAAACCCTAGGGTTTTTTTTTCCTGACCTCCCCTTTTCAATTTCGATTTCGATTCCGGTTCCGGAATTTCGAATTCTATATGTGTGATCGGTCAGAGAAGAGCCACAGAAATGTATAGCAATTTCAAGGAGCAAGCGATAGAATACGTGAAGCAAGCCGTACAGGAAGATAATGCGGGAAATTACGCCAAGGCGTTCCCTTTGTACATGAACGCCTTGGAATACTTCAAGACCCACTTGAAGTACGAGAAGAACCCTAAGATCAAGGAAGCCATAACCCAGAAGTTCACCGAGTACTTGCGCCGCGCCGAGGAGATTCGTGCTGTGTTGGATGACGGCGGCCCCGGGCCTGCATCCAACGGGGATGCGGCTGTGGCCACCAGGCCCAAGACCAAACCCAAAGACGGGGAGGGCGGCGACGGTGAGGATCCGGAGCAGGCTAAGCTCCGGGCCGGGCTCAATTCGGCGATTATAAGGGAAAAGCCCAATGTGAAATGGAACGATGTGGCTGGTTTGGAGAGTGCCAAGCAGGCCTTGCAAGAGGCAGTTATATTACCCGTCAAATTCCCGCAGTTCTTTACTGGTTAGTTTTGCTCGTTTGTTTGTGATAGTAGTTGGGTTTTGCATTTTGTTTTCCTTTTTCCTTTTTGTGCTTTTGCTATACCTTAATTCTTTGGTAATGTTGATGCTAGCTGGGAAATTCAGCTTTTTGATTTAGTTGTTTAGGGCATTTGTCAAAGTTGGGTAAATATTGAATGTTTAGGATTTCAAAGCAGTGTGAATTATACTGTTGTTGATTAACAGCTATTATGGTTGCAATTGGTTTTCTCTTCTAGTGTTTCTGATGCTGCATTGTTGCATTGAGTAATGTTGAGCTATTAGGGATTATATTTTCTAAATGGGGAAAGCTTTCATAGGTTTACTATAAGACAGTCACATAGATGGGGAGAGCCTTCTTACGCTCATGCTTGTTGATATCATATATGATATCTATTTTCTAATTCCATGTCTGTGAAATTAAAGTGGCCTTTTGGAATCATAAGGGTGCACACAGGCATATGGTTTGCATTCTTCTAGGGAAAGCAGAGGGCCACCGATAGAAAGGTTTAAGTTGTTAATAGACTTAAGATGGGTTTGTAGTAGTTATTCTCCTACTTGGAAATATTGTTCCCTTTGGAAGCAAGAGTTCATTTGGTTTCAGTATCTTACATTATATATGTTCCTTGCCCTACCTAATTATTCTTATATTTTTTTTCTAATATAATTTTCATGGTTGCTTGAAGCACTGTGTTTGTTGCTTTCTTGTTACTATCTTAACTGCTTATCCATCATTTTATATGTGTTTCTGTAGACGCCAAGAAGCTAGTATGAAAGTTGTGTTTACAGTTATATATGTTAATCAGTTTCTACTGCCATTGGAAAATCGTGTTAACAGTTACTAAGTTGAGTTTTCATTTTGATTCATCCTATAAAAGCTAATATGTATCCACTTACATTCTTTTAGGCAAGAGACGGCCATGGAGGGCTTTTCTATTGTATGGGCCTCCTGGAACTGGGAAGTCATACTTGGCCAAGGCTGTTGCAACTGAAGCAGACTCTACATTTTTCAGGTAATTTAGTGTCATTGTGTGATGACTTGACTTCTTTTTAGAAGATATCTGCTTACCCTTGAAGCTTGCTGTACGAACATTCCACTCCCCCTCACCCCCCCAAAAAACAAAAGAAAAAAACAAAAGGAAAATTGCGGGTGCTATTACAAATATCATGTTTGATCTCTTGTGTGTGTCATAGTTTGAAGAATGTAATACTGTTCATATGTGAGTGTCTGCTATATTGCACTGTATGGATCGATTCTCTCTAATCAAAAGCACAGGATCGTATAAAGTCAAGTTGGCCCAGGGGGTGTTTAGATGGTATCAAAGTAATCCGTTCCTTATTGAGGACCCTAGATATCTTCTCTCTATCTTCTTTTTTTGGTTGTGCATCTCTCTGTCTTTCAGTGAGAACTTTAAGCCGAACTCATAGAAAAAAGAGATTGTATTTTGATTGAAATGATAACCTTGTAATATATGACGGCCAAGCCACCAAGTGCTCGTATTGTCTGCATGAGCCCCCTTTCTTTGAGGTGTTCTCTGAGTGCCTTATTCTGAGACCTGTGCTTCATCATTTTGTGTAACAAATCCACCAAGTATCCTTGAATTGGAAATATTATGCTTATGCTTCCTTATTTGTGTTCCCATTTTATTTCCATACTGATGTCTTTTCTGGTTTTTAATCTGTAATTTTCTTCTGGTAGTATTTCTTCTTCAGACCTGGTTTCAAAGTGGATGGGTGAGAGTGAAAAGCTAGTTTCAAACCTTTTCCAAATGGCTCGTGATAGTGCCCCATCCATCATCTTCATCGATGAGATAGATTCATTATGTGGGACACGTGGAGAAGGCAATGAGAGTGAAGCTTCTAGACGAATTAAGACAGAACTTCTTGTGCAGATGCAGGTATATTTTTGTTTTGTGGGAAGTAGTGGAGTAAATTCTTAAGGTGCCTTGGCTATTCTTATGAGGCCTTCGAATTTCTAATACCTACAATTCTTCCTACTAGTGTTTGCTTTTTTAGTTATCACTTCAAAGTGAACGTTGAAAGTATTTGGGTAAGGAAACAAACTTAATTTATAGTTTGTAAGTAACTGAAGGAAACTTGTAGACTAGCTAAGGCTAGATAAGGTTTTGTTTGGCTGGTTTGCTGAAATAATATTTGTCATGTCAACTCTTTCTGTTCATCATCAGCCAGTTTTAGTCATAAAACTAGATTTTGTTGGATTAGAGGTACTGAAATTGCCTTGGCAGTTTTCTATTTATGTACTGATCTCTGTATGTATATATTATATAGAAATTAGAATAATTTTCTAATGCAAATCTCAGCCGTTAGATCTGATATGGACGACTGAGATATGTAGAAGGTGTGATGCATCTTAATCATTCATTTCTATATAATGTAATGGTTGAAAAACAAGTCCATTAAGGTGCTTATCTAAGTACTGGATTAGAGAATGATTACCTAATAATGCATATATAACTCTCCCTTTTTGTTAGAGAGAGAGAGAGAGAAAAGGGTAAAGTAATAAAAGATACACTCTTAATTTAATATCCCCAAAGAATGACACATTATTAAAATGAATGACACATTATTAAAATGAATGACTTGCTTTTCCTACTTTTTTTCATTTTTAACTCTACCATTTGTTCTTACCATGTTTTCCTCGAATAGAGTACAAGCAGAGACATGTAGATTGATCTCTATTACTCTATTTATATTATTAGTTGTTGCTAGTGTATAAATGATCACATATGTAAGGAAGACTGAGTGAGTATCATTTTAAAGTTGATCTTCTTATACCACTTTTATTTGATTCTACCTGTTTCATAAACTTCTCTTGTTTTAGAGTTGCATTACATCTTGCTATCTATTGTTACTCTGGAATATAGAGAGGCATTTTTCATAAAAAAATTATTCCAATAATGTGATGAAATATAATTTAGGTCATTCCTTTTTTCGAGATCTTTTCTTTTTGGATGAGAAGCCATTCATTTTTCACTGGATCTTATCTGTCATGTATTTTAGGGTGTGGGAACGAATGACCAGAAAGTTCTTGTTCTCGCAGCAACGAATACTCCCTATGCACTTGACCAGGTAAGGAGAAATATATGAAGTTTGTATGCTTGGCTTCATCTTTAATCCAAGGACACATCATATGGCTATGGTTAACTGGTATTAATTACAGGCCATTCGGCGACGTTTCGACAAGCGTATATACATTCCCCTTCCAGATGCAAAGGCTCGACAGCATATGTTCAAAGTACTGTGACATTTTCCTTTATCTTTTTATTATTTTCTTTTCATTAAACAGAGTAATAAAAACAAAATATTTTTACTAACCTTTTGTGCTATACATTTTTTTTGGGCGATATTCTGAACAGGTGCATCTAGGAGATACTCCTAACAACTTATCAGAAAGTGATTTTGAAAGCTTAGGTCGCAAAACTGAGGGTTTTTCGGGTTCAGATGTTGCTGTTTGTGTAAGCACAATGCATTTATGTTTTGCATGTATCTCTGCGTTTCTACTACCTGTCTTTAGTGTTCCTTGCATTACAAGTTAATTGAGAATAACTCACAGCACTCTGTTTGGTTTGGTTTGTTCTGTTTTAAAACTGGCAGGTTAAAGATGTTCTCTTTGAACCTGTTCGCAAAACCCAAGATGCCATGTTCTTTTTCAAGAGTGCTGATAATATGTGGATACCATGTGGACCAAAGCAACCCGGTGCTATCCAAATCACCATGCAGGAGCTGGCGGCAAAAGGACTTGCTTCACAGGTATGTGTACATGTTTTTGAATGCTGGATTTGATACTCACATGCCTATTTTGGTTCAATATTTTGGTTTCTGGTGACTTCTGGGCACACAGTTCGATGGATTGTTTTTACACACCAGATTGTGAAGTGATGGGAAGTTTTTTCATTATCATTTGGAGAGGCACATTTCACTTGCGATGAAAATCCAAAATTTAATTTAATTTTAAAATATTTTTATTCTATGTATGATCCATGTAAATGAGAAAGGGAAATCTGTTACATTGTCAGAGGAACAAGTTTCAATATTTTTTTAATTTTTTAATTTTATTTTATAAAATGATGTTCAAGTTTAAACATCTCCAAAGTAATATTATGTGCTCATTACTGCCTTGCAGATCCTTCCACCTCCAATCACAAAAACAGATTTTGATAAGGTGCTTGCTAGACAGAGGCCAACAGTGAGCAAAAGTGACCTTGATGTCCATGAGAGATTCACAAAAGAGTTTGGAGAGGAAGGGTGATGAATTTTCTGTATTTATATATCTCATTGATCCACACTTATCATCAGTGCAGTGGCCATGAATTGTATTTTATTTCCTAGTGCTGGATGGATCTAATGAATTACATACTCTGAATTAGTTTCTTCAATGAGGAAGGTGACATGACCTCCCTTTTCTGTATTCAGATGAAAATACTGGTGTTTGAACATCTTGAATGGCTTGTTTTCAAATTGTGTAAAGGACAGTTGAAAAAATATTGCTTCAGAATGTTGATACATCAATAATGTTTGTCGTCCCCATTGGTAATTTCTACTTATTTTCGTGAAACTAATTGTGCAGTTGGCTTCTAAGTGTTTTGACTTTCAGATATCCTTACAATTACTTGTGATTACTGTCAAAATTCATCTAGATAGGATTGGATGGTTGGAGGGGGTTACTTTTGAAGTGACCGTTGTCTATTTGTAGCAAAATTCATTTCTTTTGCTTGTAGTATTATCTTTTGTATGTTTACACATTGTTTCTTTAGTATTGTGATTTGGGAAGTTGAGAACTTGGGTACCGGTTTGTGTCTAAATTCCAGTTAGTCACTAACTGGCATTCGTCTGGTCCCCAAGCAAACCTGTTTCTCAGTTAATCTTGTGTACCTTTCATGGATATGCTTTCAGGAGTGGATGCGCCTTTCGGAGGACTTGGATATTTAATCCGGCAGAGTTCTGTGACCTGGGATTCATGCCAACCTCCCTTTTTTCACTTCTCCTTTTTCCTCCTTTACCCTTTTCTACATCCTTTGGTACAGAGCAGGCTGGATTTTTGACATTAAATTTTTCACCTGCTGTGGTCGCATGACTCGCATGATCTTAGTTGTGCTAACCAACTCAGCCCCATATTACTGTGCCATTATTTCATGTTTCAATGTGTAAAGAAATTAGTGATATACTATACTCGTGTATTATGTTTAGTTGGAATTGTCTCAGAGTCTAATGTGTGTATTGTGAGGAAACCACATTTGGAAATGTTTCATTAAAAACAGTCTTTGTACGTTTTACATGAAACAACAGCATACGTCCACCAAAAGGACTAAATTTCTTCCACAAAATTCAATTGCCTATCACCACTATTGTCCAAAAACCGACCATGGTGCTTCTGGGCATGTTTGAAAATTTCTCCAGTAAGCCAACAATTATGAGCAAACTTTAATGAAAAATGCCGGCATTGCCCAACAAGCCTTACACAGTTTGGGGTATAAAATGAGCTTGTAACCTTCACAAAATCACTACAATTTCTTGGTTTCTATATTTTTATCATTATGGTTTCTGCTTATATCTTGAAGCTCACTAGAGTTCTTACTCTTCTCATCTTCATTGCATTTTCTTTGGCCCATGGAGCCACTGCTAACAAAAAGGTACTGAGACACGATTCAATGAGGCCATCATTTAGTTTTCAGACTACTAGAAATGAGATAACTGAAAAAAATTCATTAAAAACAAAGGAAAGCACTTGGTATGAAATGGTTTTGAATTGGCATGCAAAAATTGCAAGTTCTTTTCCAAGGATAATCTTGAAATATGATGAGCATAATTCAAAACCCCAAACCCGGAAATGAATATAGTTGCATCTATATATATATGTGTGATCTGAATTTGAATTTCTTTTTCTTTTTCATGTTGCAGCATTATATAGTTTACATGGGGCACCACTCTCACCCCAACTCTGAATCTGTCATCAGAGCAAACCATGAGATTCTTGCTTCAGTCACTGGAAGGCAGGATACTAATTGGATTTATGCAGCTATATAGGAACAATTTCTGCTTCCATTTTCTTACTTTCATAAATGCCAATGCAGACTGCTATATGTTTTATCTATTCATGTTTTGGAATAATTCTCAGTATTGTTGGAGCACACGATGCAGCACTTTACCATTACAGTAAAACTTTTCAAGGCTTCTCAGCCAGGCTTACACCAGAGCAAGCTCAACAACTTGCAGGTACTGTGATTAAATTACTATGGTATTGTCTTCTAGAAACCCAATAGAGTAAGAATAGAAGAAAGAATAGTTTTTTACAAAATAAAAGTAAAAATATTGACTATATGTGAGAAGAACTTCATTACATTGATTTCTGTTCATGTACTACAGAAAGTGATTCGGTTGTTTCTGTGTTCGAGAGCAAAACAAATCGTTTGAGCACAACCCATTCCTGGGATTTTCTAGGCCTAGACTCTATTCCCCAATACAATCAAATGCCAATGGATTCAAAATCCAATGTCATTGTTGGTGTGATTGACACTGGTATGGCTTCAATCTTTTTTCTTATCTGGTTCTTCTCCTTATACTCCTTTATGATTGTTTCGTTAGTTTTGTTTTGCAGGAGTTTGGCCAGAGTCAGAGAGCTTCAGTGATAAAGGATTAGGGCCTGTGCCGGAGAAATTCAAAGGAGAGTGTGTTACTGGCGAGAATTTTACATTGGCCAATTGCAACAGGTACCCTTCATGTCTTAGACTGCTATAGAATTTTATTCTTATCATCCAACAAATACAAAGAAAAGAAAGAAAGAAAAAACTGTTTAGGTCAATAGATATCTTCTACCTGAATATGACTGCACATTGCTGAATCATGCAGGGTTTCCATATCCAGAAGTCCAACTTTGTAAATTGGTTTTTTATTTGCAGGAAAATCATCGGCTCCCGCTTTTATGTTCAAGGATTTGAAGTAGAGAAAGGGCCTCTTGAGTCCTTTGCGCCTCTTCCTTTTTTCCGATCAGCTCGAGATAGTGATGGACATGGGAGTCACACTGGCTCAACAATAGCTGGATCTGTAGTACCTAATGCCAGCTTCTTTGGGATGGCCAGAGGCACTGCAAGAGGTGGTGCACCGAGCACCAGACTTGCTATCTACAAGGCATGCTGGTTTAACTTGTGTAGTGATGCAGACGTTCTTTCTGCTATGGATGATGCCATTTATGATGGTGTCGATATTCTCTCCCTTTCCCTTGGCCCTGACCCTCCACAGCCAACTTATTTTGAAAATGCAATCTCCATTGGGGCTTTCCACGCATTCCACAGAGGAATACTTGTTTCTGCATCAGCTGGGAACTCTGGTTTCCCAAGTACTGCATGCAATGTTGCTCCCTGGATCCTCACTGTTGCTGCAAGCACTTTGGATAGGGAATTCCATTCAAACGTATATCTTGGAAATTCAAGAATTCTTAAGGTGAGCTTGGCATCCAAATGCTTCTACCCTTTCAAGTTTTTTTTTAACCACATAAAGGTTTGTGCATGTGTGCACACACAACACACCAAAAAAACAATTAAAGTTGACATTCAGATATAAAAGGTGAGCTTGGCATCCAAATGCTTCTACCCTTTCAAGTTTTTTTTAACCACATAAAGGTTTGTGCATGTGTGCACACACAACACACCAAAAAAACAATTAAAGTTGACATTCAGATATAAATTCTGCGATGACAGGGTTCCTCCTTAAACCCACTGAAAATGGAAAGGTCTTACGGTTTGATAGCTGCAAGTGCTGCAGCTCTCCCAGAAGTCACAGCAAAGAATGCAAGGTAATCTTTCTTTTCAAATGTTTGATGTTAATATTACTGCTACACCAGCTGATGCATGATATAGTTTTCTATCATGCTATATGCACAGTACATTCTTTTAGCACCCAAAAGAAAACACACCTGCTCAGTATTATGCCAATACTACTTCATGTCATTCTAAGAGAACTCATCAGGTAATGGTTTTCAATATTCAAACTTTTTAAAATCTCCACTGATGGTAACGAACATGATCAAACTAAATCTGGTTTGCCTTGGCCAAGCTAATACTTGAGCCCATGAAAACCTGTGAATTTTCATTATTTGCTCACCGTTAGATAAGTTCTGATTGTTTCTTTTATCAGCTTTTGCAAGAACAATACTCTAAATGCTAGCTTATTCGAAACCATAGGTTTCTTTCGATATGTGACACCCAGTACTAACCTCCAAATTGGTAATCATGATCAAACTAAATCTGGTTTGCCTTGGCCAAGCTAATACTTGAGCCCATGAAAACCTGTGAACTTTCATTATTTGCTCACCGTTAGATAAGTTCTGATTGTTTCTTTTATCAGCTTTTGCAAGAACAATACTCTAAATGCTAGCTTAATTAAGGGGAAAATCGTGGTATGCACCTTTGAGACCTTCACTGATAACCGAAGGGACAAAAGCATAGTTGTAAGACAAGGTGGTGGTGTGGGAATGATTCTTGTCGATCCATTTCTCAAAGATGTTGGCTTCCAGTTTGTCATCCCAGGCACTCTAATTGGTCAAGAAGAAGCACAAGAGCTTCAAGAGTACATGACGACAGAAACGTGAGTTTCTCAAGCTTTGCTTGCTCAAATATCTATCAATGGAAGAAATTAAAAGTTACTTAAAAAACGTAAATTGAAAGCTACAGATATCCAACAAGTCAGCGATACTAGCTACCGAGAAATCCTAAATTGATTGGAAATTTAAAAGTCTTGTTATTACAGGAACCCAGTTGCTATAATCTCCCCGACGATTACATTTCTGAAAACTAAACCTGCACCAGAAATGGCAGTGTTCTCATCCATGGGGCCAAATATCATAACCCCAGACATTATCAAAGTAAGTTCTATCAAATCTCTTAGTTTCTCTTCTTGAATATATCTAAAACACTTACAAATCAATATTAATGCTGGAATGTGGGTAAAAGAGCATCATCAGTGCTATATCCTGGGGTTATACTAAATGAACAATTAACTCCAAATAAATAACCAACTATGAAAATACCTATTGCAGCCAGATGTTACAGGACCTGGAGTGAATGTTTTAGCAGCATGGTCTCCGGCAGCGACTGCTGCAACGGCTGAAATGTCTGTCAATTATAACATAATATCTGGCACCTCGATGTCTTGCCCACATGTATCTGCGGTTGCAGCAATTTTGAAATCCTACCAACCTTCCTGGAGTCCAGCAGCCATAATGTCTGCAATAATGACAACAGGTCACTGCATTTAAAAGTTTTTTCATTATACTTTCAAGTAGCTTAACAAACTTAAATTGGGTCACTCAAGTTATGATTTTCTTTTGTTGTCACAGCAACTGTCCTTGATAACAGCAGAAGAACCATTGGAAGAGATCCAAATGGAACCCCTACCACACCTTTTGACTATGGATCTGGACACATTAACCCAGCTGCAGCAATTGATCCTGGACTAGTATATGATTTTGATTCCCATGACATTATCAATTTT